AACACTGAAGCAACTCAATGCGTGTGCTACTTTCTTCTTAGTATGATCTATGTGGATTTTCTTCAGTCCTCCAAACCATGTTATCCGGTTTTCAGCTAGCACTTCTACCACAGTCTGTGCAAGTGAGTTGGTTAGTTAATATGCGATGGCAAACTTCATGAAATAGTCAATGACCACAAGTATGTAGCACTGGCCCTTTTCTTCTCTGGAAGTGGATCAGCAATATCCAGGGATATCCTCCATAGAGAAGATCCAGCAATTTTCTGTTGGATTTATCTTATCTTGAGCATTTCTACCTCTGATACACACTGTAGACTGCTCACATCAATGCCAAACATCTCGAATCAAGTCATAACTTCATACCCTCCAGTCTTTGTGTTATGTAAAGTCCAGAGTACCATACTTCTGTGGTTGGTACTGGTGGTATAGCACACCTTCTCACACTTGTAGCTACTTGCATGTGTGTCACAGGTTATATGTATCCATGCTATGCTCTTCTACTAGTGCTTGACCACGAGGAGCAACTGCACTAGGTCAGGGTCTTTCAATTACTCATTCTGGAGCTCCTAAAATATTTGGTGCAGTTATGTACTTTACAGTTGGCTGTCACTATAACCAACATGGTTGTGGTTTTGATTCCCACGTGGTGTCAAGGATTGAGACATTCCACGAACAGACAAGGTATAAGTGTGGCAAGATAGTCTGCCTACATTGCTGTGTTTGGGTCCAGGTGATTAATTATGACAGAGTCATGCTATTGCAACATTGCTATCCAATATGCTGTCACCCCTTCTGGATTTTAAAAAGTTTATCAACAACTTCAACAAAGCATGGTTTACCCAAATGAGTAACCTGCTACCACATAAATAGTGGCAAAAATGTTTCATTAAAGCAAACACCGCATGGAGCTGTCTTTATCATGCAGTATTTGCATATAGAAGACATAAGTATACAATTAATATACATGATCATGCATTCCACTCCATCCTTTAACTGTGATAACACTGCCCCAACTCCAGTGTCACGGTATTAGTATCCAGAAGAAACTCACATTTTTGACAGGAATAAGCTAGCACTGGAGCCTCCACTAAAGCAAAATTTTAGGAACCATAATGCTTTATCACATTCCTCAGTCTGTGCAAAGTGTGCTTTTACTTTCGTGAGAGTTGACAATGATACTGCTATATTTGAAAAATTGAGCACAAATTGTTGACAGTAGGATGTAAAGCCTAGGAAACTGCAGAACTCTCGCCTTGTCATGTGTCAATGCTACTAATTTACTGTGAATATCTTAGTTGAACCCATTGAGACTCCATCTCTTCCAACAACGTGACTGAGAAACTCCACTTCTATTCACATAAGTGAACACTTCCAAGGATTCAGCTTCAGACTAGCTTTCTGGGGGGATGAAATACTTTTTTCATGGTCTTTGATGCTACTTCGAAAGTGCAGTCAAACACCCAAACATTATTAACATGGAACAGACATCTTTGTCATTGTAGTAGAACGTTGAGTGTAAGTTCCACCAGCTGCTTGAAGGTGGCTGGGAAATTACAGAGATTGAATGACATGATCCAGAATTCATACAAGCCATCTCTTGTGTTAAAAGCAGTTTTAGTTGTTTTTCATCTAGCCCAGTCAACCATTACCTGAACACCAGATCCAAGGTGTTGAACCAAGATAAGCATTCAAACACATCCATACATTTACTTGCTAATGATAACTAGAAGATGTTAATGTGATGTCACTGCACTTACCAATCAGTAGTGTACATATAACTTTGTTCATGCCTTCCTACGTTTCGATAATCACCACTGGAGATGACCAAGTATGCTCTGAAGGATGTATGATGCCCTCCTGAAACATATACTGTATTTCAGTACCTCCAATCTCCCTAGTACTTAAAGTAAGCTGGAACATTAGTCACTTTATCAGTCTTGCATCATCTATGTCTATATGGTGCTTTTTTGCTGTCATTTGACTCAGTCAGCCATCTTGCCCCAAATATATGGTCATATTCACCTGACTAGTCACCGAGTTTCTATTGCTACATTGGGTATAAATTATTAGCACAATCACCAACCAATCCCCTCAGTTGTGTTAGTATCCTTGTATTTGCTTTCGTTCATACCACAATGGATGTGACCCTAGCATTATACTTCCACTTCACTTACTGTACCTATGACCATTCATATTTACTTGACAATATTGATACTTTATCCCTTATTGGGTGATTCACAACCTGAGATAATACTGCCTGCATTTTGGACAGGTAATAATTTACTTCATGCAAGGCTTTTATAACTGTATCACATGACACTGACACATCAGACCTCATCTGTGTACATGAAGTTACTATCATTCCCTTCACCATACACCTGTGCAGTTCATTGTTCCTGAGCTCAACCTGGGCGGCATTGGATGACTCTATCGTGAAGTATCAACTCACCTGTTGCACAGTGAGAGTTGACTGACAGACTTCTCAGCATGTTCATCCCAAGGATGCCTTTCCAAACCCGAGATCAGAGTCCAGAACTAGTAGTTCTACAGATTGATACACAGTTCATCCATTTCAAAAAGTGACCTGCCTAACATATCCTGAGAACCAGTTCAGATCTTCCCTTGAACATTTGGAACTTGATCTGTTTGACCTCACTCATAAGACTATCTATGTATGTTAAGCCAAAAGGTCTCTCTTTTGCAGTTCTGATGAATACCTGGAGATGGCTAATGGAGCCCTTTCATTGTGGAAATGTTTCTTTAAACCCAGTACAAAAGAAATTTAGTCACAGCACCAAAATTTCCTTTTTCTTTCTACTTATGTTTTCCAATAACTTATTTCCCTACAGTATTGTATAGATGGATCCACAATAGCAGTGCATTCGTCCAGGACTTTTGAGAGTGTTTATAAGCGAATAACTGGCTAAGTGTTTCTTTTGAATTCTTTCCCTACGGAGTTGGTGGATCACATCAATCTATTATCGCTATTATTTTTTGTTATCTTATCTTATATAACCATTTCTAACCGAATAAGTTTTTCATATTTACATTTTAGTTACTTTTAGAGCAAAATAACAAAAATATACATAATAAACAAGAAATATACTATTTACGTTCAACTGTCTTGTTTTTCCTGTCTGTTGCCATTGAAATTTAAGCCTATTTGTTTGTAATGATGGTAATAATAGATTAAACGGTTTTCATTTATTTAAAGCATGCCCATAAGAACGCAGAATAATAGCATGCACACAGCAACCAATGCCCTATAACTATTATAATTTTACTGGCTTTCTAAATAAGGCATAAGTGCCTTAAAATAATTCCCTAAGCTAATTGATCTGAATACTGTGAGAGAAATTTTCAAACTGAAGACGAAATAGCTAAAACAACGTAGCATTATACGTCATTCGATAGATTAAATCGTTATCTTTCTATTGGTTATAAATGATATGATAGAAAATGTCAGAGAGAATTACTGGTAATTTTTGAGAAAGAACGTGACAGGTGGGCGTGGCAAATGGGTCTCATTTTCTAGTTTATGACTCCATAAAGAAAGAAGATTGAAGGCCATAAACATTACATTTACTTTAATAATACCAATACTATAATGAGTAATTTACTTTGAACTCAGTTACAAATTTTATACAAAAGGAGGTTGAGGCATTATCTAAATAATTCGTTTTAGAATTACGAAATTAAAATTATATAAGATATATAAGTAAAATAACACTGCTTGTTGTATGTCCATGTAACTACTTCGCAGGGTTTGGATGGATCTTTACCAAAATTGGTATGGAGGTTCTTTAGATCAATGCGGGGGTGCATCAAATTTGCATTTTGCGTTTTCCTGTTTTTATGAGTGTTTTTCGGTTTTTTTTTCTTTACCACTACTTCGCCCCTGTAGATGAATCTTCACCAATTTTAGCGTAAAGGTTTGTTAGGGCCATGTGTAGATACATGAAGACTTGCGGTTTCATATTTCGTGTTTTACAATTACATATAAGTGAAGCAACTTTTCATGTCCTATAATAACCTTTCATTAATCATGAGTTTACATAACTTCCGTCCAGGAGACAGGTGCTTCAGTTAGTATTAAAATATGATTTATTAACAACATTTTGATGCCAAGTTTATTTGTGCGCTTTGTTAATATAGTGGTTTAATTAAATTTTAAATGTAACACCTTTATCTACCTGTAGTGAGAGGGTTTTAAAAGTAGAACAAAGAGACTAGAAGACTTTATTTATAGAATAATTAATTTTTTTTATTGTACTGAGAAATTGGAATCACTGATCAGCTTCCACTAGATAGCCTTTACAGCCTCTTTTTCTCAAAGTCACTATCAGTAAAGCTAAACACTCAGATATTCAAAGTTATATGTCTTCTCCGTTGACCACTTAGTGTCCAAATCTAGAAAGTAAACTCATTTTCTTTGGCTACTGAAAAGTGTCACCGTGACCTCTGTTTCCTGACAACATTAATCGGCCGTCACTTTCAGTCAACGTCATAATCGACCAATTAAGGATATTTCAGTACTAACCCGTTCAACCTGGATTCAATATACAATACTGAAACATCCTTGTGGACAGATGACACGTCGCCTACTAGAAAACAAATGTAACGTTAACAATCTTCTGGACCATTGTTGCTACCACGATAGTGTAGAGATTAAATAACGAAAAATATTGAAGATTTCTATACTACTTTAGAAGGTAGAGAACACATGATACACTCACATATCACTACTTCATACCATACCACTAAGAATTATTTTCCTATACTTTCCCATTTCTAAATTATTTGTCTGTCAGTGTTCTTCTGAGTCACCTGTTATGTATAAATAAATATGTATATATTCATGATGTTAGAAAAACAAATATAAAGAAGTTTTGATAGTCTTATATTTTTAAACATGAAGGTGCTTGATCCCAAATATATTTGTTGAAAATTATTTTGATTATACAGTATTATTATTATTAAGTAATTTGTTTCACATTTAGGAGCTTTCGTGTGGTTGGTGCCATTGTACGTGATGATACTGACAATCATGGTTTGGAGAGCTGTGGCCAGAGTTCAGTTCTTCGAAGATTTGTGGACTTGGACCAAGCTTTGTTCCTGTGCAGGAGGAATCCTTTTTGCTCTCTCTGATTTCTTTGTTGGAATTAAGATGTTCAGTCTTTCAGCAACTCAGCCTCTCCAACAGACAAATATTATGGTAGCATACTATGCTGCACAGCTTGGTATTGCTCTATCTGTAGTTGACAGTACAACGGTTGCTACATTGAGTGCAACATACAGCATCTCTTCGACTGCTAACTCTTGTACACCTATTAAGAGCAACAAACCAATTATTCCTGTCAGTTATCAGAAAGTTACGGAAAAACTTAAGAATGTAAAGCTTGCTAACAATTCACCAGAATTAATTCTTTCGAAAGTTGACTGAGTTAAGTTTTCTATTGTTACTTAATGTTGTAAAAAAGGGCTTTATAAGTAATATTCAGGTTTCATAACATTTTTTTACAATGTACACACACATACATATGTACATTTATAGTTTCTAAAGAACCAACTCTCATGATATGGTAAAAATATTGTAATTTCTACTTCATAGTCAGTTAACTTCAAGATATTACAGTCAAAATAACTGTAGCTCAAGATACTTTCAGCACATTAATGATAACTCAGGATTGTGTGACAAGTTTTAAGCTATTAAAAGATTTACGTTTTCAAAAATTACCGGAAGAGAATTAAATATATAACCATATGTGGAGTAATATAAAACATGGTGATACTCCCCTCCCCCAGTGGCTCAAGCGTATGTCTGAGTACTTATAACACTAAAAATTGTTTCAATACAAATGGTTGGCAGATCACAGATAGCTCAATGTGTAAATTTATGCTTATAAGAACAAGTAAAATTATCATACTCCTTCAGATTAATTTTTACTTAAGATAGAAAGGAATATATATTCGTATACATTGCCAGGAGAGTAATTGTAAGAATATCAATGTGTGCCAAAAGCAGTTGTGTAAGTATCATAAATAAATTAATGAAACTATACGATAAGACAACAGAGAAGTTTCAATATAAAAATATTAATTTAAATGCAGTTGTTGTACACACTATTAGGACAAGTACATAGATTTTAATCACTTGTAGGTGGTATAAACAAAACAGAGAAATTCATACTTTAATAATAACCTGTTTTTGAATCATACTAAAAAGTTAAATAAATTCTGTATTTTCCTCAACTCTCAGTGTTCAAACAAAACAACAAGAAACACTATACAAAATAAGGAAGGTATATCCACACTACAATCACACCTAATTATACAAATGTTTGATAATGAAAATGCACCTGCCAAATATACATGTACCAGGTTTTCTTTGGTTGGCAGAGTTATAGTGGTATTTCGTTCATTTTTTTTACACGTGCACATAAGCACCTAATCTAATTTCACAAAATAAATATACGATACAAAATTACAAATTACTAAACATACAAAATAAATTTAATATTTAACTCATATAAAATGTGAATAACGAAAGAGTAAAAAGACCTATCTGGGTTAAAACAATATACTGCAACATACCAGCATGCTTCAGGTAAATATTACATACGTTACAATGCTTCAATAATTTTAATATTTCTGTAAATTCTAGGAAACCCTGCGTTTTATAAATGTGTACATTTAAACTCTTTAGTGTAATAAAACTGTACAACACTGGCATAAGCTTAACTGATGGGTGAAACTTAAAAAAAAAGGTGAAAACTATTTCAGTTAATTCCAGTTTCTGTGTTAATAGTACTTGTTGATGCAGTTAGTTGATGAGTACTGAATGTTCTTGGATGTTTCATAATCAGTTATTTTATGACCAATTCAATTATCTTTTAAATAACTATATTAAGATTTTTTTTCTTTTTTCTGAAAGTATTAGTTTATTCACGATGATGAGAACCTGGAAACAAACTTGAAACCACCAGGAAAGTTTTAATTCCTGGGTAAGAAATGAGATGGTTGTTATCCTGTGTGATTAGCCAATGTGAGATAATTATCTACAAGAAACTATCATATACATTACCATATAAGGATTACATTTATACCGTAGATGTGTAAGAAAATACATTTCAATTGTTCATGTATCTTATCTTCTACAGCATTTATATCTGTGTCATCGAAATTTTCCTTATAATTATCAAAGCACCTCAACAGCGCAAGTATTTCGACAATTAAATTCAATATTATTAAGAATGTAGAGATTCTATTCGTTGTTTTGTTGTAGTTCATACAACGTTTCTGGAGTACAGTAGCATGGTAGCACCGCTAACTAATGAGCTATTCTTTACCAACGAAAAGTGGGTTTGACTGTAACTTTATAACGCCTCTACGGCTGAAAGGGCGAGCTTGTTCGGTGATGGAATTCGAATTCGCAACCCGCTGGTTATGAATCGAGCACCATAATCACCGCTACTTTCTTATGCCATGGAACACTGAGACTAAGAAATCATATAAATGTTTTCTGCTACTCTTCATAAACTGAAAAATGTATGTTATATTTTGAACATATATTAGGTTAGATGATGTACACCTTTTATTTGTACTTTGAATTGTACTTAAACGTTTTTGTTTTTCTATTTTTAATGTTTTAAACGCCAAAGGCCGGCGAAGTGAAAGAAACAAACAGGTCTAATAATAGTGATAAAAGTCACTCTAATTCTGCTGAAAAGTTGTGGTAAAGAAGGTGACGTGGTATGTAAAATGGTTCCCAGATGGTAGGCCAATGTCGGCCCAACTTGGGTTATGATCGGTTTGTTGGTAACGTCGCTCGAAGAAATTAAAGGCCTAATTAAAATAATGATAATAATAAGAAGAATAAAATACGTTTTATTCACACAACTCTTAGCACCCGTAGATCTACACCCCTTTACGCATATTTCCTTTATCTTATTTTACTTAATATTAGATACGATAAAAAGAGTAGCTCAATGAATGCAGAATTTATGGAAAACTTTATTTTTACTTTTCTGATTTTTGCTCAAAATTGTCGTCTTATCAAATAACACACGCGTATAAATAAAAAACAAACAGGAGTTAGAAAAATTATTGTTGCAGTTTAAAACGTGAGGAATAATGAGGTCATGAATTTAAACTTCCTAACTGTTCTAGTATGTTATCAAGAATGCGATTATTAACACTTCTAAGTTAAAGTTTATAGTTTGAGTCACTGTTTTGAGCCACTCCAACGCCCCTGTCAAAAGATTTTAAATTAACGAATTTGTTTTGCTACAAAATGATAATGTTTCAGTAAGTTTTGTTACGCTACATTAACAGATGGATTAGAAGGTCCCAGGTCTTCTTAGTAGTGAATAATGTATAGGTTTAATTATAAAAACTTATGAGTGAAAGTAAAGAAAACATTTTAAAATATGTCAACCACACTATATGTGTTATATCCAGTGACAACGAGGCCTTTCGTTCCCTACCAGATGGGCTGGGATACGACAGTTTAAGATCATGATGACTTGACATCTTATATTCAGAGAGAGAGAGTGTGTTAGTCTTGTGATTTTGGAGCTGGGTTTAAATCCGTGCATTCGATATCACAAAGTATTAGGGCGCTCTGGGGCCGTGGGTACGTTATAAATGTTATGGTCAAATCACATTATTCAGTCTAACTCTCGAGTAGCTTTGTGCGAAATTCAACACACACACACACACATACACAAATAAATGCTGAGTAATATTGTATTTACATTTCATCAAATGATAGCATCCCATAAATGTTTAACAAACTATATAATTAAAAATTGGAATATCGTTGGCTATAGTCGTTTAGCCAATGTTGAGCAGATGATCAAAAAGAACACTGGTGTGTCAACTACCTGTTATCTGGGCAATGTTGTAAAGTGTTATCTAGTGTGATTTTTGTCACTGTTATTAGGATTGTTACTTTCAATTGTTTGGAGTATGATTTGCTAAGCAGTACTTTACCATTAATATCTATTTGCATGAAAACAATTTTAGGCATTATTTTTGTGCAGTTTTTATTTACATGGAATATTCAGCTTCAATATACAATATACCTTCATTATATATATGACATCTTTTCTCATTGTTCAAATTTTGTTAAAGACAAGGGTTAAAACTTTTTTTATATTATTTGGTCAACTTTAATTTTATCGTGGTATATAAAGCTGCCTTATGCCGGCGTAATGGGATCTATTGATCAGTAGTTTGTGTGACATTACTGTAATTATCACAGAACCTGATAACTTGGAGAGAAAAATATATTTTTGAAGCTAAAATTTCATTTTATAGGTGGTAACTTACCAAATGATCTTAGGCTTGTGTTATACTTTCATCAGACATCAAAGAATAAAATAGAAAAGTAATAATTTTGGTTTTTGGTCCCACTTATATAAATCATTAATAAGAATGGAAAATAAATCTGTTTAGTGATGAAAATAAAAAGGTTTTTTTATCAACCGATATGTCAGAACGAACCTTCCCACATTCATCTATTAAAAGGTTTTTATTAAACGGTATGTCAGAACGAGCCTTCCCACATTCATCTATTAAAGATTTTTATTAACCGATATGTCAGAACGAACATTCCCACATTC